ATTAATGCTAGAGGTACAAATATAGATATGCTATTCATCCATATTTTAACGATCGTTATTATTAGTTGCTTTTCTCGTCAAATGGTGATATTTGGATACTTCCTTTCACTATGATGAAGTAGCGATCGATGCTGATTGCCATAGGCGATTGTGAGGATGTAAAATAGGAGAAACCATTTATAAAATAATTGATTTTACAAACTTTTCCTAAGCTGTAAGGACTGGTTTATTCTGCATTTGTAAGTGCTAGATTAACGATAAGAAAAATCGCTGCTTAGAATAACATTTTAATATCTGAGACGGCTATGCTAACTGAAAACATGCAGAAGGAGTGTGAATTCTCTTATTTTTAATTTATTTTGTTACTAATACGATATTGCAGAAGATGCCAAATAAATAAATAAATAGGTATTAAAATCATAAAGGTTGATATCATGGAATGTCGGAAAGCTATGACATCGAACGTGAAATTTTGCTGCGTAAAGTTTAATGGGCTTTGATCTTTACTAAAGACCATATTTGACGATTTCTCTTTAACTCATGCTAATAACTTGTTTAATGCACAGTTTATACTCTCCAAGTGTTCGATTCTATATCAAGTAGAAAACTAAGGATCTTTCGCTTGTGATGGTTACTGGCTACGAGTCAAGCAGTTTACAATTATTTCAAAATAGCTTAGGCAATTCTTTTTAACAGTCAGAGTATTAAATAAAACCTTTAATTGTACTTTCCTGTAATAGATCTGTTCGATAATATCATAAGTTAAATATGAAATAAGTGTGTAATGTAACTTAGTATTGTGATTGTAAACTGTTAGCCATGTTTAGTACAATGGACGGTAGATATTTATCCTAAGAGATATTTGGTAGCTGTAACTATAGACTGTAGTGCTAGAGTACAGATGATTATATGCAGTAAGCTGTTGAGTTACTAATATGGCTATAGGTAAAAATAGAACTGTAAATCATATATTACGATATGGTTAATTCATTGTACTTTGGCTGGTGTGAATAATGTCTACGTAAGTACTGTAGTCATATCCATATTGGATTAATGATGGTCCGCTGTAGAATAGTCTTACTAAGAATAATTTAACTATGTGTAAAATAAGGTAAAAGGTTGCTATGCAGATTGTAGCTGCGAATGCTACGGAAAGTATAAAAGCATAGAACTTTAGATTTTTCTGTTAGTTCGTTGTAGAAGTCTTTAGTAGTAGTATTCGGCTAAAGTAGAGCTGTGTGTAGTTAATCTTTGTATAAGATTGAATAAAGCCCTAATTTTTCTAAAATTTGGAATTTCGTGATTGGTATATATCACAGTAGCCAAATACTTTATTACAATATTCCACTCATGAATGAATAATCTCTATAGCACATTTCTAGAAAAAAACTTTATGTCGATTTCAGCTACGACCTTTCTTACGTCGTAAATACGTTGAACGATCAATGATGGATATTGCGTTATCGTAAGAACCAACATTTTTAATTATTTTATAGGCGTGAAGTAATTGATTTTTTGCTCAAATCTTGTAAGCTAGATCTTTTATTATCTCAGATTGCAAAAATCACGAATATATATGCAAAAATGTATAGCAGACATGAATAGCTTTTTCTTAAATTAAATACTTCAAATTCTGAGAACAGTTTATGATTCATGTATCAGTTATAGCCAAAATCGGAATCTGGGCAATTATGCAGAATAGCGGGCTGCTACAAAGAAATTTTTGAATAAAATATCCTAACTTAGTTTCCATTAAATAAATTATCATTACGGAAATTGACTACAAATTAACTGATTTTATACAAAATTTGGGAGTAGTTTATCAAAACAGAGACTAGCGCTTGAGGATAGACGATCATTAGTATTTAGATTCCTTTTATTGGCAAATATCATTGAGGAAAAGCCTGACAATAGGCTAATTTTGCTAATTCCTATATTAGTTATATTTTTGATCTTTACAAATTGAGATTTGCTGACCGGCCAAAGGACGAATTAGGAATTTACACAGAACTATATTTACTGATCACTAAAAATAGCTTAGATAAGACCGGTACGCAAAAAGTATCCACATTTATGCCGTTAAAAGCTAATAGTATCTAAATCGTCGATATTAGAACGCATATAATTCCTGTAATTTACTTTGAATTTCGAGTCCTTGTAAGCAGTAATGAAGCGCCATAATTATTTATATTATCTAAATGAAATTAAAACTGCGGAGCAAGAATGCTTCGTATCTTTACCCAAACTTGATTGTTTGCGGCTTATTCAGTAATGATGATAGCCAGTAGAATTTAATATTATTAATTTATATCTAGTTCATATAATATGAGGTACGTACTGATGATGGACAAGAGTTGAGATCATTTTTTAATAATGAATAGATGCATAAAAGTTTAACTCATCTTTTCAAATGACCTTTAAATATATATATGTTTATAACTGTATTGTGGTAAATACTAGATTTTTGTGAGCTGAACTAAATAATCTCAAATTCATTTGCTTTGAATGAACGGGATAAAAATATAGATTATGTACCTTTCTGCTATCGAATTATCAAACACAAAGAAATCGCTGCTTCGCAATTTTGATTCTGAAGGAAATCATTTTAATGGTTCAAAGTTTTAAATACAGTTCTTGCAGGAAGTATATCGATAGAACAGTTTATCAACAATGAAATCCCGCTATTATCAGATTTTTACACCGATGGAGATTTGAAATTCTAGCATTTATTCTATTAAGATTTTTTATGCGTTGAGAAACATATCCTAGATTTTCAGACGTGTACATGGGCTTTTTTACCAACGTTATACTCGTACATCATTTTTAAACTTATTGATATAGTAGATATCAATAGTTAGCCGATCATAAACATGTATTTTAACTTTTAAAAAATATAAGTATTTACTATCAAATCTATAATAAAAATCATAGGCGTTACTATATAAGGTATTGCAGTGATCATAGCAGCAAAGAATGCTGTATGTTAATTGTAATGTCGTAGATCTCACAAGTTTCGGATCATGAAGAATCAAAACATCAAATCACTCACGAACTT